ATGCGCCTTGAGCAGCTCCATCAGGTGCGTCACCTTTCCCTCCAGTTCGGACGCCGCGGTGGGAGCCGGCGGCGCGCCGTCGCAGCGCGCCGGGGCCGACGGCGAGAGCCTGTGGAGGAGCCGGTGGAGCAGTCGAGACTGCTGACCGCTCCTCCATGGTCCCCCGCCGGTGGACGCCAAGTGCAGTCATCGGTATGCGGGAGGCGTGCTCAAGGGCTGGCGGGGCGGACGCGACGACCTGGCGTTGCCGTCGCGGAGGGCTCGGGCTCGAGTGAGCGCCGCCGGCGACGCGTCGTTGCGGCCGTGGCCGCGCGAGCCACATGCATCGACGGCTGCTTACGGGGGGGGGGGAAGTTGCTCCGTCCGAAAGCACGGATTCGGCGGACGTTCTTGGTTTACGCATGTTGCACCAGCTGAAGGCTTGCCCGGGCGCCGTGTGACCCGCCGGACGAGAAGTTTGCGTCGCCGAACGAAAATCGCACGATATGCACGAATTTTAATTATATTTTTTTCGTGTGGGGGTATGTCATGTAGTTGCCAATGGTACCGCGTCTGCGACGCGGGCGCCTTGCGGGCAGAGCCCTTAGCCACCCTTATGTCTTGCGCGGTCAAAATCGAGCACAATTGCGTTACATGGGCATGGCCGGGGTTTCTGCACCGAACGATCTTACTTTCGGTCATTTGAAAGTGTGGATCGAAAAACGCACAAACTCCGGACCAAAGTTCTGCTCACACCACATGCTAGGGTGGGGGTCCGACATGAACGACTCTGCTGTGTCCGCTGCAATCTTTGGCGCTGGCGTCGCCGTGCTCATCGCCGTGCACTGGCAGAGGCAGAAAAAGCGCGGGCAGAAGCGCCTGCAGGCGCTGGAGGCCCTCGTCGAAAACCAGCAGTCGCAGCTCCGGCTCAAGGAGCGCGAGCTAACGGCGCTGCGGGCACGCGGCGTAACGGGCGCGCTGGTACCCCAGCCGCTGCACCGAATCGTCCTGACGGGCGGCCCATGCGGCGGCAAGACCACCGCGCTGGCCAAGCTCCGTATCCGGCTCGAGGAGCTTGGCTTTCTGGTGCTGACGGTGCCCGAGACGGCGACGATGCTCTTCTCGGGCGGCGTTCCGCTGCCAAGCGACGAGGCGTCGGGCTTCGCCTTCCAGAAGCACCTGATGCAGGTGCAGCGCGAGGTCGAGGACGCCTTCATCGCGCTGGCGAAGGGGTCGGGCCGCCCGGCAGTGGTGCTGCTCGACCGCGGCTTGATGGATGGCAAGGCGTACATGGAGGAGGAGCAGTGGGAGCTGCTGCTTGAGGAGCTGCAGCTGACGCCGGTGATGCTTCGCGACCAGAGGTACGACGCCGTTGTGCACCTCGTCACCGCCGCCGACGGCGCCGCCCCCTTCTACAGCCTCGCCAACAACGAGAGCCGCACAGAATCCGTCGAGGCGG